TACTTAAAGCCAAAAAGTTTGGTTCTAGTTTCAGATGTTTATTTCATAGTTAGTTTTCTTATCATCAAGTAGCAACCAATTAATTATTTTCGCCAATAACCTTTACAGCACTGCTAGTACAGTAGGCTGAAATTTACAGATCAAAAGAGGATATAAGAATCAGGCTTTATTTATGTATTTGAGTACTAGAAATACTTAAAACAAAGATCACTGGCCACATAATTGATGGAAATAAATAGAACCATCAAGACTGTGAGTGAACTTGGGCTAAACAAAAACTCTCCTTTGCAGATCCTTATTCTATTTAATGGAAAGTGACATACCTCATAGAGTGTTCCTAGGTGCATTGTTTTTTACATGCTTAAAATAGACACGGAAATTAAAAACAGAAGATTATCTCACCTAATAGAGGGGTTAAAAAGATCCCACCACCATTCTAGTGGATACCTGTATGATCAGTTTTATTTTTTTGATTTATTCCTCCTTGAGGAACAATTCCGGAAAATAAGACATCCATTGTGGCTTTTGTAGTATATTTGTCTTCACTACCCCATTGCCTCACTGGTTCTGGGGTTGAATCTTCTTTGGTCCCATCATAGACCACATCTACGGCTATGATAAAGTAATGGAGAATGAAACAAAACTATTAGCTGCATTTTCATTCCCTCAGTAGCATAAGTCCAATATTTTCTTTTCTTACAGGAACAATAAAGTACATGAACACTGGGACTGGTTGTAATTCAGACATATATCAAAGCACACCACTGATGTTGACAGCAAGTCCCATCCCAATTATCCCGTTGGGTCCTCTCTGTTTTCTTTCCTGTGCCCACCAAAGATTATTGGTGGTCACTGGTAATAGTTTTGGTATGCAGGTTTCCATGATATTACTGTTACACACTTTCAACAGACGATAAAAACAGTTCAGAAACAAGGACAACTGTTGCCACTTAAGATTCTCGTGTTTTTTAGACTTTTTCTTTTTTCCCTCTTCCCCATCACTCTATACATTCTTTGCTTTGGTAACATTGCATCATAAACCTAACCAATCATTTTACACACTCACTGTAAGTTTCCAACCAACCAGTTATCACAGAAATAATCACTGTATGCCTTTGGAGAATTAGAAAAAGCACAGATCACCATACTGAATAAGATAATAAAAATATCGAAAAGTAGATTATAAGACTATGATTCAGAATGCATTTTTATGATTCAAGGCTTATACAGAATCACAATGAAGTCACACCATATAAATCAGCTTCAGAACATGACAAATCATCAGCATAGAAATGTTTAGTTGGTATATATTATTTGAATTATGATATGAATGCTAGTCTAATATGAGAACCTTTTCAGGGGTTCAATCTACTTGTGATAATGAAATAAACATTATATGTAACAGCCATACTTCGTTTCACCCATCACTATGAAAGGACAATATTATTCACAGCAATACCTTCATGTTCATTTTCATGCTGTTTACTGATTTCCATGTCATTTCTAGAAGTATTAGTAGGTTTTTCTTCACTGACCCAGTCTGGGTGGTGAACAGGAGGCAATGGTTGCTGAGCTGAGTCTTCATGATCCTTGACAATGACAACTGTTTGATGAACCAATTATGAACTTAGATTTGGATACTTAAAATTTTAATCTGTATATTGTCCAAATCAATTCCCACCAAAATAATCATTGCCCAAAATTTCTTTCATTCATACTTTCAGTACATTTTTAAAAAACTGAGCTTTGAGCATGTTTGCCATCTGGTCAACTATATTCATTGACTAAAGGTAAGACCCTAATGGTTCATTCAATGTAAGATCCCCAAGACTATTGTAACTGGCAACATATTAGTCTTTACTACCTATATGAAAGGCTTTCACTTCATTACTCTATCCAGTTGGTGGAATAACATCTAGTGATTCTATGCCCTTTGTGACGTTTGTGAGATTTTTATATTCTTCATTCCATTCATCATACAGATTATGCATTGCTTGATCATGAATATTATCTTCATGACTGGTATCATCACTGATTCTCACAACTGTTATAATGATGGTTAGGTAAATATTAAATGTCCTGGAACAGCTGCACAATCATTTCCCACACTGTTTAGTCAGTACTATTTTTTGGCATTATATTAATATTCCAATAGATAAACACTGTGAAAATGCAGCAGTATGAATTTAATCCTTGGCTAAAGCAAGGTTACAAGTAAACAAGAACTAAAAAATGGTAGATTATTAATTTGAAATCTAGCAGTAGACCTATAGATTTCCTTTTTATTTAAACTTTCTTTCATACTGAACATTTGAACTTTGTACAAAACATCAAATATTACAACAGATATCTGTGGACTATTTGTTTTCAAAACTTCATGTCAATTTTACTACATGTAAATGGTTCATGTAGCTGATGCAATTATTAAAGACCATAGCTGTTTCAACAATGGAGTTGTGTCTAAATGCTATGCCACTTTTTACAGTCATTTAAAATACTTGTTTCCACCTACTCCATAAGTGCCCTCCATATTTTGAAGGATTTCAGCAAAAAAAATTTTGAAACTGCTATTTAGATGATTATATTAATTGATCTATAATGGCAATATAGAGAAAATGAATTCTCTTTTTCTTCCTAGTACCTGTAAGTGATGTTTTATTTTCATGCACATTGCCTGTGGGATTACTAATTCCAGGTATCAAATCATTTATTGATGAATTTGCAGGATGACTTTCTTCACTGAAGTCAGGATGTTGTTCCTTGATCAATGAATCTTGGGTGGAATCCTCATAATCAGCAGCTTCAGTGGAAATCACAGCTATTACAATATTGTTGAATTGATTTTAAGCAAAATAGGAGTAACTTTCGCTAAATACATTTCTGAGAGTTACTTATTACTTAATATACACAATGCATGGCTTCTGTCTTTTTAACCTGCAAATCACTATACTGGATTGACAAATATTGATATTTTTTATTGGGCAGACATATTCTAATTAAAAAGTACTAATATTTGCATTTCCCTAATTTGGGATCATGATGATGAAACTTGACTAATGAACATTCTGCATCACAGCATTCATTTTCAAGTGACCATTTTTATCACCTAGACAAGTAAAGTGAGTTAGCACTTCATCCATAAACATACATGTAAATTATTTGTCTTCTCTTAAACCTTGTGAGCTTGATGCTAAGCCATCAGTTTAAGGGCTGTTCAGCATCACTTCTCACATACTCTTGGCTGTACATTTATACAGATTATATGCAGAATACCATATAATATATTAATGGATATTTTTTTTCTTTTTGGAGAAAGCCACAAATATGGCAGCACAAGCTGATTAGAATGGCATTTTCTGAGAAGTACCTGTCTGAGATGTTTCCAATTCAGTCTCTCTTTCAATCTGAATAATTTCAGACTGAACATCATCCCTAGTTTTGTTTTCAGGGAGATCATCTTCATTATCCTGTCCTGGATGGATGTCATAAAATGGCTTTTGTGTGGATTCGTTGTCTTTGCCTTTTTCCTTAGTGGCTACAGCTGCTGCAACAATTAATTTCAAAAGACTTGTTTGCACGTGATGCATTTTGTTGTACTACATTCTAATATAAAATTAAATATAATTCCCTTGATAACGTGTTACTTATTATTTACAATAACAGATTAAGTAATCTCTTACTAGTTCTGAAATATGAAAATGAATAAAATTTCTTTAATTGGCCAATATCTACTAAAATTTCTTTGAAGGAATTTTCTAGAGAGAAAATCAATTCTGTGAATTTTTCTAAATTCAATTTATGAATTTATATAAAGTCAATACACTAATATACTGTATCCTAATATACAATTACAATCTTCATGACTGATTCCATCCCAGAGATCAAAGCTATCCCTATAATGGTGGGATTTATTTTTCCATTATTTACTGGGCACATGAGAAAGTTTTATTCATAACAATTTACTACCCATATGAAATACAAGTCCACTGATAGTTAATGGCCTCACATTTTATGTATTTAAGGCAATAACCTATCTCAGCCAGAATAATAACAGAAAACAAAAATTTTAAAATTGTTGATACCTATAGGTGAAAGTTCATTTTCACGCTTACTTGCAGTTGGATGAAGAATTCCAGGCAGCAAATGATCTCTAGATGTCTTTGTGTGATATTTTTCTTCACTATTCTCTAGGTTCAACATTGAATCACGAGTAGGAACTTCAGAGTCAGTGCTAACACTGGAAACTACTGCTGTTACAAAGATGGCTGGGTCAGTTTTAAACACTGTTTTCAGAGCTACTTTTCTAGTTGCTCTTTTACATAATTGTAAACCAAAAGAGAAAACCAAGAATATCTTAACTGTTTTAGTGAAGTCAAAATGCTTGTACTCTACATGAAGTGTATAATAGTTATATCTACAGTGCCCAATTCAGCTAGAAAAATTAGTGCAAAATACATTTTCTTTTCTTTACAGACAATAGAACAAATACTGCTCCTGGAATAAGTCCCTTTCCCACTAGAAGGAAAAGGAGGAATGTCATATAGAACAGGGAGTCTTCACTTAATGACTGCCCTGTTTAGTGACTTTGAAGTTACAATGGTGCTGAAAAAGTAACTTTACAACTGGTCCTCATAGTTATGATCATCACAGCGTCCCTGCAGTCGTGTGATTGCCATTTGGGTGCTTTGCAACTTGAGGAGTTAATGACCATCACAGCCTCCCACAGTCACAATTGCCATTTGTGCACTTCACAGCTGGCTTCCAACAAGCAGAGTCAATGGAGAAGCCAAAAGTAAAATCACAAGTCACAGCCATGTGATGTATCACCTAATGACCAGAGGTGATTTGCTTAATTACTGTGTAACTTAGTGATTGAATTGCCGGTTCCAATTGTGGTCATTAAGCAAGGACTACCTGCATAAGAACATGGGAAAGTGTAATAAACTTCAGAGCAACAAACAAAAGACAAAAAAGGAAATATATTACTTTTTTAACCTTTCCTTTTTCATGGTCATTTTCATCTGAGAAACTATTCCAGGTAATCTCTAGGTATGCATTTAAAATGTAGGCAAGGTATCCACCTATTTGAGGCAGGTATTGACTACCTAATGCAGGTGCCATAAGCATCAACAGATCATGAGAAGTATTTTTGTAAATCAATTCATCACCTACTATAAGATTGTTTGAATCTACAGGTAGTCCTTGACTTATGATCACAATTGGGACCAGAATTTCCATCACTAAGCGATGTGGTCATAAAGCATGATGTCATGCGACTGCATCACTTAGCAATGGCAATCCTGGCACTCCCTGTTGCCGTCATTAAGCGAATTCCACCAGTTGTTAGCTGAAGACCCACCCCAAGCCAAGCCATTCCGGGCGTGGTCCCTCCCAGCCCTGAGCCTCAGTAAGGTAAGGGACAGCCTCCAACTCCCCCCACCCATGTATCTCCTCCCCATCTCTGCCCTTTTGGCTGCCCTGCACCCTGCCTTGCAGGGTGGCAAGCAGCCCCAGAACCACGCAGCTCTGGGGTTTCTTGGCATGCTGTGGCTCTGGGGCTGCAAGAAGCAGTCCATGACTGCAATACAGCGTAGCGCAGCGCGAAGCCTAGCCCAATCCTGGCCCAGCAGTGCGGTGCAAAGGTCCCCAGGAAGTGGCCATGCACAACCTAGGGAAAAAAGCTTCATGCGGCCAGCAGCTGCCTTGCGAAGGGCCAGGCCATGCATGCTTGGCCAGCAGCTGGAGCAAGAAGATGGTGAAGGTCAGCTGGGGTAGTGGAGTGCAGGGCGTCAGAGGGCCAAAAGGGCATAGATGGAGAGACAGGCAGATGAAGGGAGTTGAAGCACCCCTCGGTCGTGTGGGCAGGCTGCCAAGTGCCCGAATTTTGATCACATGACCAAAGGGGTGCTGTAAGGGCCATAACTTTGGGGACCAGTCATAAGTCCTTTTAATTAGTGCCACTGTAACTCTGAATGCTCACTGAACAAATGGCCATAAATCAAGGACTACCTGTATGTTAAAGACTATATTTGCACAATTTTTTTCCTTAATCCTCTTCTGTCTACTTCACTTAGTTTTATATACTCACTAAATTTCTGGGAAGTGAACAGCATTATTAAGAAAGTAAAGAGTGTATCCAAAAGAATAAACATCACTGGCACAGAAAATTCTCCCTGCTCCAGGGGGCTCATGATCCTCTAAAGCAGTTGTAGAGGCACTGCACTGGTATGGAAGCAAAAAGTGAATTCAAAAGGGAGACTGTGGCTATAATCACTTCCATCTAGAGAAATCTTTCACACTTCTGAAATTCTTATCCTAAAAATATATGGCCAGCCAAATACCAAACTGAAACATCCCTTTTGTTTTGTTTAAAGCTTAGTACTGCTGGTTTTAATTTTAGATTTGAATTATCTTAATTTTTTTAATATTATACACACACACACACACACACACACACCATTTGTAATCCATCCTGGGAGCATAAAAGGCAGGGACTAAATTTATCATAAAATCACAGAATCACATCTTTCAGCCTGAAAGATGTAATTAAACTTTTTTTTCCCTAATACCTGTCTGAGAAATTTCCATTTCTTTTTCATGTTCATTTTCATCTGGATAAACACTGTCTTGATGAACACCACCTCTAGATAGGTTTGAAGCATATTCATGTTCATTTTTCAAGCCAGGATCAATCCCATGGATCAATATTTCATGAGCAGACTTGTCATGGTCAGTACCACCATTGCTGACAACTGTTACAATGATTCTTACATCAACCACACATTTTCATAATCACTTCCCATACTGTTTAGTGGAAATAAATTTCAACTGGAATGATTTAATAACATTTAAGGGGAAAATACTAATTCAGATTACTTCAGCAGGATCAGAATCACACACAATAATAAACTAATTGGAGGAGATCAGAAATCAATCATTATTGCTTTACTGGCACATAACTATAAAAACTTATTCATTTTAGGGTTATTTCATTTGGAAAAACAATTCCAAGTAGTATATCCTTGCTAGATTTGTTTGTGTGGTATCTTTCATCAGTGGACCAGTCAGGATACAGAATATGTGGTACAGCCTTGAGCAGATATTTCATGCTTCATCCCATTATAATGTACCATGTTATTTTTGAGGATGAGGCATTTTGACAGTTTAATATATACAGAATCATTTTCTAGAATTTGTTGGATTTCTAAAAACTGGATAACTTGCATTCTAAAACATTTTTGGCTTTCAACAAAATAAGTAGAAAGGATGTCACTTCTTTCCACTTGATACTAGGTCAATCACCTCAATTTTATACAGAAATGTTTTTTAAATGAATTAACTATATAAATCCTATTTATATAAGAATAATTATAGTACCGTAAAGGGTTTTATAGCCAGATAATAACAGCTGATGGATTAAAAGAATAAGAACATAAATATCAGAAATGTAATATCCCAGCTAGGTTTTTTTTCACTGATGTTATATACATGGGCCGAGTGACAGTTTTTAATTCCATTCTTTTTTACAGCTGCATTTCTAATTTCAATAAAAGAAGAATATAATGGTATAAAAAATAGTTGTGGCAAAGATAAAAATAGGCAGGTAAAAAGGAAAATTGAGATAACCATAAAACAACAGCTACATAATAACAAAAATATTTTTGTGTCCTATATCAATCAAGAGGCTGTTGCTAAGGTTCAGGAAAAGCACATCAGAAAAATCTCATAAATAATACCACCATCATGTTTGCTGTTCATTCTTGGCTATCAGTATTTCCAAAATGCTGCAGACATGACTACAATTATTACTGAAAGGGAGGGGGGGAAGCAAATTCAAGAAATATTAACACTGACACTTATAGCTGGAACTATGATTACAAAGCAAATACAAAATCTAATATTTGTAACTTGAAAGCTAGCTTTCTGAAACACTTTCAAGATGTAGAATCTCTCACATGTTAATAACCATTACTATGAATAAAGACTAGAGAAGTTCCCCAAAATAAAATTTCTACTTATCAAAGTAAAAGATGAAAAGGTCTACAACATCCAGGTGATACTGATGACTAGCATATCGATTCTATCTGAACTACAAAAATATGATTAGTAGCAGATTAAGATCACTAAACCCTAGAAGAGAGCCCTACCCAAAATGGACAGCAAAATGTGATTATTTTTACTCCGGTGATTATGAGAAGACTCACTTGGAGATGTAAAATTATGTAGAACATCCAGAGTGTTATTTGTTGGATAAAACTTTTCAGCATTCCCTACGGGATGATCATCAGATGGTAGTAAATCCTGGGATGTATCCTCATGTTTGGATCCATCATGAGTAGTCTGAGCTGTTAAATCAATGGGCATCTTACTACATGAAATAATCCATATCATTAATCTAACTTTTAAGTCATCTATCCAACTGTGACTTTTGAGTGAGCAGAAAACATTAATGTTCATGCAGCAAAGCACTATTACAGTTTTCCCTTCCATAGTTCTTCCTGTTCCAGAGAATCCCTCAAACTTTAGGAGATTAGGACGACTGTGGAAAAAGTTGAAATAGACGTGGCAGGGAAAAAGGTTTCTTTTGTTAAAATATACTGTAATTAAGAGATTGTACTATTTCTTATAATAATTACTGCCAAAATCTACTTGTGATACTTGTATGTTTTATTTATTTTTATTTTCCCTTAAATCAGCATAAACTAGTAGATTCTTCTTTTTTTCCCCATAACTATCTAAACAGATTTTTTTTATCACTGTCTTAAAGATGTGCTGTAACTTCTAGAATTCCAAACCAAAAACAATGGAAAAAGTTAACCTAGAACAATTCCAGAAACATTTTTTATAAATCTTGAAATTCCACTTTTTAGCTGATTTGGTTGAAACCTCCCCTCCACCTATCCATCCCTAATATGATTTTTTGTTTGGATTTATAATTCTAAGTTTTTATGAAAGCAACCTTCTTTCCCCCTGAACGTTATATTGGTAATACACATGTAGTTATAGTTTAAGTATTATGAATACTTTCTATCTGAACAAATAATAAAACAAGAAATGAGCTGAATCTTTCTAGCTTGGCCCAAGAGAAACTTGCAGTTTAATAAAGTGTGAAATCCATGTGCTAGAATACAAAACGCGTGCAAAAATCACTGGAAATGTGTGAAGAACGCAGGATGAGGCCAAATTAATAACTTTTCCTAACTGCCAGAACAAAAATAAAGGAAACTTAATATTTCCATCTGTATTACAGCATTTCCTTTCACCAAGTAGATTTTAGAGAATGCCCAACTATGTAGTGGAACCAAGAGATACTGTTAATGGACAAACAGCATTAGAAATTATTTTGTTTTCAATACAGTAACATTATTATAGGTAGTCATACTGCCAATACCTGACTGAGAAGATGCATTTTCATGATAGCTCTCCCTTGGAGGCATAAGTACTTGTAGGACACCATGGATTGTCCTGTTTGTGATAGAACTTTGATTCCTTTGTGCAACTTTATCAACAGCTGATGACTGGTGTTGATGTCCTTCTTCATGTTCAACACTTCCGTTGAAGAATATAACTGTTGCAGTTATGGTAAATAAGGCAGGAATAAATTTTGACCATTCATGTATTCAGTTGATGGTGTCTCAGATCCAAAGATCTGAGGGTGCTTTGACAAACAAATATGCATTTAGGCTTCCTCACTCAGTTTAAAGGGAGCATATATAAAAGTTTGCTTGCATGTTAGATGTCTAATATCAACAAGCTGCACTATATTAAGGTGATCTTGGGTTCAGTGCAGTTCAAGAATGTCCTGGTATTTAAGTAACTGCATGAAGGATAATTTCCAGGTTATATGGAAACAGAACTAACTATATACATACATACACACACATATGGAATCAAATTTAAGCATCCATCTAGTTTCACTGATTTCAGGAGGTTCAAATCACCCGAAATCCAAGTTTTCACTTTAACCAAATTGTATGCAGTATAACTGCAAATGGGCATGAGTCATTGCACTGCCAGATAAAGCAGAGAACTCTACGTTAATCAGACAGAAAAAAGGGTTGCATCTATAAGCCTCTGTTCTCATATCTGAAGCCTTCTTTTATTAAATCAAACCACTGGTTCATCTAGCCCAGCGTGATTCTCCATGTCAGGCAAACAGATGCTAGATATCAAAGGAAGGACCTTCTAAATGCAAAGCATGTTACCTGTACTGAACTATGCTGCTCCTTATAAATCCGAACTGCAAACCTGCTCTAAGATGTGTATAAATCCACAGGTGACAGGGAAATAAATAAGAATTCAGATTTTGATAAGGTAATTCTGTTCGGAAACTGGTTTCATATCCCTAGTATATCTCTACATCTAATGGCTTTGCAAAATAACTACGTAAATATTTTTTCACATGTTGAAGAATTATTATTTAAATGTTTAAACGGCTATCTAAACCAACTCTAAAATAATTAAAATAATTACAAGTGAATTGGAAAAAAGAGCAAAACTCAGTTGTTACTGTATTTACAATTTACACATGTGTGGAAGAAACTTGGATCAGAAAACAAATGCAGCTAATTTAAAGAGAAAGTCAGTTCTGTAATGGAAGTATTCATTACAGAAGTAGTAATGGAAGTATTCATGTTGTTACCTGGATGATGAAAAGATTCTTTTTCCAGAGTACTTTCTGTTTCATTAGAGGGGGGAAATTCTGGATGTAATACATCTGAAGTGCTGATTGCAGTGGGTACTGCGTCTTCAGTTTCCAGTTCAGGAGGTGCACCATCCAGTTGAGGCTGCTTTGAGTCTTCCTGCTTGAAGAAATCATCACTGGAGGACACAGCTGTTATGATGATGTTTTGAATCAGTTCCATTACTATGTTTGCTGAACAACCATCCAGATTGTCTTGTTAAAATATACATGGCTTGCACTTTCATTTATGTGCATTAGGCACAGGAAGAAGAAAGTAGATAAAATTTTGGAAAGTATTGTTGAATTTATAGACCCCATAATCACCACAATTTTCAGAAGTGGTTGATTTTCCAGAGATGCCCCAGACACCAGGAACAATAGCAAAAGGAATATAATAGCAAAAGAGGCAGAAAAGATGTGACAACAGCTTGCACCCTTATCTGATCTATCAAATGCGTTTGATAGATGCAAAGGCTTTGTACCATCTGGATTCACAGTAGCATCTTAAGTCCAAGAACATTCTCTTTTTTTCTTCCTTTTCTTCTATTTGGAAATTTTCTTTCTTGGAATATTTTGGACACTCACTTCAGATACATAGTCCAGATTTACACCTTCAACTCAAAGGCTTATTTTGGTTGGCATTCATTGCCATGGATGAAGTTCAGACATTTCAGTAAGTGTTAAGCTTATTCAGTTCTAAAGGTGCTGCTGTACAAATCCAAGGAAATTAAAGTAGAAATACTGTTAAAAACTGCAGCCACACTACCAGATTTATCCTTCATGGTCAACTCATTTAATCATTTAGCAGAAAACATAATGCATTACACATTATGATCATTGATTATAAGAGAAAAAGCTTTAGATAGTGAGAAAGATTGTAACTGATAACTCAAAACAGAAAGACCACAGAAAGCCCTGTGCAGTAAGAGAGATACTTCCCATCTTCAAGAGAAGATGTCAAAACCTTTCATAAGAAATAAAGCTGAAACTGCAAAACCAAGTTTGTCTATCAACATACAAATGCAATCTGTTTCTCTTGTTCTAATGCTAGCAAAACTATGCCTTTAGATAAAAAGCAACTATTATTACCCACTTATGTGTTTGTGTAATGGTTTAAACAGTTCTCTTTAAATCAAGGGAATACTTAACAAAGTAAGCTCATGTTTGATTTCTTCTTCCAAAAAGCAATTGATTGAATCCAATTTTAAATGTCTATAAGCATTAGCTTATTAAGAAACACTGAAGGGGAACTTGATTGACTCTGCATAGCCATTCATAAATTTCCAAGACTGATTTTCACAGTTTGAGTGCTACTCCATGAGCCGCAATTAAATTTAAATTACTAATTTAATCCTGGACAAAATAATGCACCAATTTGGCATTCCAATAAATTTCACCAAACTCTGGAGCCTGAAATAACTGTACTTGTGACACACTCTGGCTTTACCAAAGCAACATAATATTTACACCTTCAATATCATGATTTTGATGGATAAAAGCAAACACAAATTGGGAAAATGCCTCTATATGTTTGGCTCTATTTTCCTGTTTGAAGTCATCACAATGCATTATCTGCATATGTAGCACCAGTTAAAATTGATCAATCCTTCCAACTATTAACTACATTCTGGGTTTTAATATTGTGAAAAGAAATTCTATTTCAAACCAACAAATCAACAGTATTATACTTAATTCCTCATACCGGTAGTGGTTGAATACTGTTCATCATCACCTAGATGAACAATTCCAGAAAGCACATCGTCTCTTGTGTCATTTGTTGAGTATCTGACTTCACTGTCCCTTCCAAAATGTACGGCATGTAGCAATGCATTGTGGGCTGATTCTTCTTGTTTGACATCTTTGCTGGAGTTCACGGCTGTTGTGGCAATGGTTGAATTGACAATGATTTGAATATCTGGAATCCCACATCAACTAGGACTTGGGCTTAAGTTATTTTAGAGTATAATGTAAAATAGGGGGAAAATGTGTACAGGTTTTTAGAAGTACAGTTCACACATGTACTTTAGTGTACTGGAAGGATGTGCATGTGTGAGCCCCCAAGCATGACTGTCTCAATAGAAATGCACTACTTCTAGTAGAGACAGATCAAGTAATCAGACATAAAAGAACAAGCAATATCTTCTCCCTAGGTTATAAGCATTCATTGTGAGTGGGAATTTACAGTCAAACTTCTTGAAAATGAGTATAAAATCTGCGAATTAGGTTAAAGTTAACAAATAATTATGTATTTGAAAAAAGTGCACAAATTCCCACATCTGCTTAGAAAAAGCATATATTAGGAAAAGTGTTCCCCAAATAATATGTTAGAAGAAAAGTGCAATGAAATACAGGAATTTTCACAGGAATTTTCTGAAACTCAATCTGAAATTACATTAAGGGAAGTTAAACCTGAGAGTCAACAACCTCAAGCATCTAAGTTTAACATTTAAAAAAAGCTTCTGCACATTAAATAGCTTCATGGCCCACAACATCTATATAGGTAAAGATTTTCTTGGCATAAAGATGCATAAAGTTTTCAACAGAACAGTTTGTTACTATAGGCGCAGGAGCAGTTATGTTGGGAAACATGTAAGAATAAAAAAGAGTAAAAGGTAACACTTTTCTTTCAAAATGCTCTCATATTTTAATTAATTTCTCCATATAATGCTAATGTGCATTACCCCTATAGTGCCATCACCAATGCCACCTGCTCCCCAACAATAGCACAGGCACAGCAAAATAAAATAGAAATAGATTGCAAAAACGGTAGTAATTGAACATACTTGCAATGAGCCAACATGGTCATTAATAGGAAGGAAACTCATTCAAGTTTATGCATAGAGAACATCACAGCATCACAATAACCACCACCATAACCAAAGCTTTTTAGCAGCTTAAGTGACATTTGACTTTGGACTTGCCAAGTGAAAGTGCAAAACAGACATCTATGGAAAGCAGGTAAGGTAACTCAGAATTTGGCCCCCTCCCACTCAAATTATGCATAGACTTTAAGCACAAAACAAGACTTTTCCTCTTGGGAGCACCTCTGCATTTCCATTTCCAGCATAAGCCAAGACAAATCAACCATTTTCCAATGCAAAAGCCAATGCCAGCTATGCAGGTTAGACCATGCAGAAAAATAGAGCAAAATAATCTGCAGCTTTCATCTGAAATTTTGCTATTGTTTACTATTATCTATCCCAGATAAATAATCTTTTGTAGGCTATTAGTTGTTATTTCTATACTACTGAACATCTAAATCTACATCTAAAAGCCACCTTGCACCTTTGTTATACCTCAATTATTTTTCACTATAATACAATGCATGATTAGGATTAGTTCTTACTGGTATTTGATGACTGAAGTTCCTTATCACCACTGTTGTCCCACTCAAGAACTGTTTCAGGATTTATAGTCCCAGACCCTTCTTCGTCATCACCACCATCATCATCACCACCACCATCATCATCATCTTCAGAACTCTCATCTATTGATTTATTGATGTAAACTTATGGTAAGATTTTTATATTTTCATCCAGTTATCCATTCTCTGTTGCCTACATCATAATTAACATATTCTTGCTTCACTAATTGGGTACAGTCAGTAAGATATGAAGAATGGGTTATATAATTTGAGGTTTTTTGGAGTGTGTCAAAACAAAAACAACATGTTAGCTTTAAATGAATGATAGAATCTGGATTGTGCCGTGTTTTAAGGGAGGCAAAACCAGTTTTGCTAGCTAAACACATACAGGATCATTTCTATTTTGCGTTGACTAAGGTTTACTTCAGCAATTGCAACATTTCAATGAGATATAAGGTACTTGGGAAACGGTCCCTAATTACAAAGCTAGCCCTAACCCTAACTCTTAAAAGAATCTCCTCCCAAAAATGGGAGGAGGGGGGAGATTTTTGGAAAAACATAAGCTGAAGATTTGGTAAGAATGGAATGGAATGGAAACATTGTATTCCTACACAAAACTATTTGATGTAGAAATGACAGCACAATAGGAACTATACTACACTCAGAGCTGACTCAAGAAAATATTCAGTGAACACACGTCTCTCAGATTTATTGGGCTTGCTAAAGGTGCAGAAAATGACAGAGCAAGGAGTAAAATCTATGTACTTATAGGCAAAAGAACAAAAATTATCTGCAACAAATCCAATTAGGAGAATGGCTCTATCAAGTTATTAAAAAGCCATGACTATCAGAAATGCACTTATGTAGTAATATAGAATATTCCAAATACTTAGAGGTGATTTAATTGAATTTTCTGAATGAGTTTTTATTGAACAGAACATCTTTTTACTCTTAAACTACAATATTTCCGAACGAGATAATAAACTTGGCAATCAAGGGGCTCCTTCTGGCACTACTATGAAAGTTTATATTCTGTACACCTTTTAAAATTTACAGTTTTCCTAAAGGTCTTGCTACAAATCCTTATAATCAAAATTGAGTCAACGATACCAAATGAGTTGACCAATGGTGAGTGGGCATGTAAACTGTGGGAAGAACTGACATCTGGTTGGAAAACAGATGAATGAGTTTTATCTGGAGTACTAAACAATCTACAGTTTATTTCAAGTAATCAATGTCTTTATCAATAGGACCGGTCTGGCATTAATGCTCCACAAGAATTGTAAGTTTTAATGCAGTTATCAAAATGTGCACACCCTATATATACATGTACATGCCAGAGAAAAGTTATCTTAAGCCATGGAAAAAAGAGCAGAAAACTGATGTTTGTAATATAAACTAAAACTGATCTTTCTGAAAAATAACATAAATTGGGAAATGGTCAAGTGTAGGTTCTTTCCTTTCCCTTTATCTATATTCTGGTACCTATATTTATTCTTACAATTTATTTCAATGAATATCCACATTGTGGATCAGTTACAATTGTTTCTTCTTAAGTGATGCAACTACAACTGGTTTTCTGGGCGCATATGTTTTAAGGAGAAATAGGACAATATGAAAAGCAAACACTATTCATCTTTGGCATCCTATGTATTTTGCAACCAGGTATTCATATCAGAGTATAAAAAGGCTCACTGCAACCAACTTTCTCTTGCTAAAGCCCCAAATATACCATGTTGCCTTTTAAAATATATATTTCAAATCCTTTCTGATAGGTAGGTATTTATAGCGTTTATATGACTGCATAACTCAAGCATAATGGGCAGCATACAAAAAGTCAACTATAAATACAACCCTCCCCCCCCCAAAACCTCACAATACATTGAAAGCCAGCTAAAACCATAAAATGGCAACCAGACTACAATATACTGCAACTCAACAAATGGAACATCTAGATCCAAAGGCCTGAAAAAGAAGCCAGATCTTAACTGTGTTTCTAAAGGCTTGCAGGGTCGGGGCCAACTTTATATCAGGGGGCAAGTATGTACAAAATGCTCTGCCTGTGAAGACAGAATATTTCAGGGAAGTATAGAACATGCAGTTCTTCCTCCAGACAATGCTGATCCAGCTCTTCTGGGCATAGCCTGGTAGTTTTTCAAAGTGAATCTTTTTGAAAAGGGCCTATTCCCTGTTGGACCATATCCAGAGCATGACAAACCATTTCATCTTCTGGAAAGTATACTTCCAGAAAACTGCAGGGCCATTCCGAGACAGGCTGAATTGATGTGGCTGTGATGCAGAGGAGGAATAACAACACATTCCATAACCATCTACTGATGGCACAATGGATATTCAGCTGATAAAATGTGGAGGAAAAATCTCCAAATTTCACAATTTTACTTGAAGGAACCACAATGGACAGAGTAAAGAAGGAAATTAAAATGACAACTCTCTGAATTCAACAACATCAGGGAATTAAAATAGTAAATATTTGCCAAGAAAATAAGTTCATGTCAGCAAGCTTATGTATCAGGTCTCAGGAATATATGACTATGGAGGTATAACTGGAACCTCAGAAAAGACAAGACACAAATCTTGAAGGAAGTTAAGACTAAAACATGATTATAGAAAATGATGACAAAGCAAATGGAGTGAAGAACAATGTAGGACTATAGAAATATTTCTTCTCCAATTTCACAGGAGACTATAATAAGCCCCTTAAGAAATTAGCTCACACAACAATGACTTTTCTTCAGTCATGTCATCAGTTTTTTCTTTAAAATGTAACTCCTATTGCACATGGGCTATTTTTAAATAGTTATAATTTAAAAGGTACTTAGATAAACCATATTGGTGTAGAAGCTGAGGATATGGGCTTTCTGACTTGCATATTAAAAAGGAAATGCTTGCAGGATCTTATCTGCATAGAAACTATGAGAAGCATATTATTTTCAAAAATAATCTGAAAGAAAGATTTAAATTGGTCTAAAACAAAGAACTGTTTAGTAACTGGGCCTGTTTATTAACAGGCAATGCCCCTGCATTATAATTTTAGTTGTAGCAATCATATGTCTTTCCACACTATATATGCAAGAGATATATGCCCATTAGCTTTTCTACATGTCAGCACATAGATTCTTAAAATGGCATGCCCTTAAAGCATACTTAAAGTAGTGTGCTCTTAAAGCAACAGTTTCAGGTAAGTCCTACCAACAGATTTGTACAAAATTCTACATGACATTGGTAGTTACTTGGCAATCACAGCTTATGGTTCTAATGTACCAGTACCAGAATCACCTTTACCAAACAACAAAAATGCTTCTTCAAGCAATACTCATGAAGTATATCTGCAACAATTTTTCTCCAGGGAGACCAAACTTTTGGCCAGACATCTTGAAAAAAAGGCAAGGCAGGAGACTATGATTGACTAAAATGTTTACAAGAGTTTACCCTTGCTGAAGGTTGCATTCTGCATTCCTTTGTGTTCTTCAGGTGGCCACCATAATGGGATTTCTTCAGTGACTTGCTGATCTTGACTAGAATTTCCATAATGCTTTCCATGATTTGATCTTTCTCCAGCTGTAATGACGGCAGAATAACTATAGTGTTGAATAAGTGTTGTAGCTCAATCCATAGGACTTCCTCATAGTGGATGGTAAAGGGTCAGTTCATGTGTCCTTAAACAGCATTAGCGTTGTTGATTTTCAACCAATATACTCATATGTATTTTAGTTTGGGAGTACCCTAACACAGGATGGATAACACACTAACAGTACAAACATTATGACCACAAAGTAAAGGCATGGGGGTTGGAGAGGAATATACATACTATCACATCCAGAAAATATCAATGAGGTCACTTCTAAAGCATCCCAAGAAAAAATAATTGCTTACTGATAGTAGTATAAAGTTAGCTAAGTTATCACATTTATCCTTTCAAGTCCAGTTGTTTTGCTTCTCAAATGAATCTAATTTCATCATGGTTATATTAAAGGATGACAAGAAATTGTATTTCTATTGTCAATTTGGAAATAAAATGAGGAACCCAGCATTCTTGAACTGAAACTCCATAATTTGCTGTAATGGGATTTACAGTAGGAAGCTAATTCAAGGACTCACATTTCCCCAATTATTTTTGTTCCACTGTTAAGTCTTAGTCATTTCTTTGTGGCAACGCAGAGATAGAGAACAGCACTATCATTTCCATCACTGTAGAATGCAGAGACGCATTTTCAATGATAAGAGAGAAAGTAGCAACAGTACACAGAGCAGAAGACTTTGAACAGAGGAAGATATCAGTAAGAAGAAGAAGAACTCATTGAAGTAAAGAACAATATAGCAAGTTTCCATTTCAGCACAATGGAAAAAATGGAAGTGATGATGGTTAAGAAATATATGCTGGATTTCCATCACATATTTTCCCCAACCACACAGACAAAAGTGATAGCTTGTTGCTTTTATACATAGTCTAAGAATGGAAACACTTAGCTTTCAGTTTTGAGTTTCCAAACAAAACCGGGAATGAAACTTATTTTGCACAGGGATTGAACTGCAAATCATTTTCTGGATTGTCTATTATTCAATCTGATATAATCTTAAGATTGTGTAATCTTCATTATATGCCAGTCAATCATATAGTCTGAAGTTCATACTACCATAATTTATAAAGTTGATTTAGAATTTCTTTCCTCTATTCAATATATCCTATTTACATGAAGTATCAAAGCTAGACTTCAAGTCTCTTCATTCCCTAAAAAGCAACATCAGTGTAGCAGTATTAATATGAGCAAAGGTCTCTTCCCAAACCAAAGTTTCCTGTGTGAAATACATGATATAAACATGTTTTGCATGAATATACATTCTCTACACCAATAAAAGAATATTCAGTACAGTTACAATTTATAATTAACAGAAAGTCAATTGCAAAATGGAAATCTAAAACCTGAGAGATTCCATCATATCACCCAAGTGTCAAATGCAGAAAAACACATACAAACTATTGACAGATGCTTTGACAGAATGAAGCATCTGAGAGGGAGGCAAGAATCCTGAATATAACAGTGCAACCAGCACAGATCAATAGGATCACACTAATCCTTGATCTAGGCACAGAGCAGAAGAGTAAAGAAAAAACATCCCCATTCACCAACACCACTTGCAACATTTGGAATAATTTGAAATAATTATTATTTGTCAGATACTGTCCTGATGTTACTTACTATACAACATAGACAATCACAGAGGCAAAGTCTTTTTACAGGTTTTAGATCATACAGTTGCAGCAATTTACCATATAAAATTGCTTTAATTATCCATGGGTATTTGAGAAATGAGCTTTTTCCATGGATTCAAGGAATGGGTCCAGATTTTAAAAAATTGAACTAGTCTAAATGGCTTCATTGGCCAGAACTTTGAGACCTGCTTCCAGCTTACCTTTTCATGAACTGATGAAAGTTAGCTCCGGAATTTGCCAACCTTCACCAGAAAGAAGTTTGAGCTTCTAATCTGTGAAAATTCTTGAAACAAAAAGCTGCATTCAAAATAAGATTGCCAAAAGCTAATCCTGAAAATTTGGAACTGCAGGTAAATATCCAAAGAAATAACGGCTTTCATTATAACTGCAGGATCTCAGAGAAAAAGAAAAAGCTATGGCATAAATTGTACAAACTTTCCCCACAGAAAAGACCACTGTACATTTGATGGGGAAAGATTCAAATCTATACTGCTAAATATGTTTCAAAATAGAAAAAAGATGTACACTTACGAATAATTAGATATAGATATATTGGAGAGAGTGACCATTATCTTGGAGGGAAAGAAATCAATGAAAAAACATTTTTTCTTGAATCCCAAATATTCCAAAAATCCACCTTTTTTGTAGAACTTTTATGCAGTGATCTAGTGGATGAATCTCCAGTAGATATTGTCACTCCAATTTGTAATTTTTTTGAAAACATGAGGAGTTGGGGAAAAAAAGAACATGTAAGAACTTGGGGACTATCAATCTGTTCTATAAAGACCATAAAAACAGGTTTATATTAATATCACCTTGAGAAATCCTCCATTACTTAGGCTGTTGTATAACTCATTATTTCTTTAAGAAATCTAAAAACAATCCTGAGAAGACAGAAACAGTTGCAGTACAGAAAAAGTCATTTAAATAGTTAACATGTATGTAAAAAGATAACAAGAAGGAAAATGATCCATTAGAACTCATATAAAACTGTTATTTGGATTAACATCAAATTCTCTTTGGCTCCACTTCTGAGAATCCAAATATATTTGCAGAAAAATAGAAAAATACCCACTGTATATAAAGAAATGCAAGGTGAATGTAAAAGCAAGATGAAATCCCATTATAAACATCTAGATGACAAAATCTCAATCTGAAGTCCTTTGTCCAGGTAAGAAATATCACAACCAAGAAGACACTTTATTTGCTTCATACACATAGACATAAACCCCCCCTTAAGGGTTTTTTCTGAGCATTTTGGCTGAAGGATCCACGAGGACACATCTTTCCAATATAATTGTTACATTGGTCTTAATTATCATTCATGAAATCACTCTCACGTGTTACAAATGGAAGAAAATTCTAAGGAAAAAGTCCAATTACTTCTTTCCAGAAGATTTACAACAAACCCATGCCTGGACATTTAACATGTATTGGAGGGATATATATTACTTAATGAATGTCATAGACTTTAATCTTAGCCACAGACTCTAGAGACCTGATTAAAGAAATACATGAATTCAGAAATATTTCACGGAGTGAGTCTCAGGCACAAAAGGAGCCAACCACCAGCCCGTATAAAATCTAAAATGTCATCCCATCAGGCCTCAGACATTGTTTACCCACGAGATCCATCCCCCCTTTCTTGAAAGCAAACACCTAATGCCTCTACAAAAGAGACATCAAATCCTATTCAAGGTACAAGAGAAAGTCTGTGAGCTCATTACCAGAACATATAATCCATAGCAATTACATGGCGTCAAAACTGGATGCGCTGAACCTAAATGTATGTAGTTCATGTCACATACCAGAATTTTCTTCATTTCTTATTACTCAAGGTACACTTTACTTTAGAAGATACACCAGCATAAAATGTTTTGTTCTTAGCCAAAGGAAGGGTATATATATTGTCAATGCCAAAAGAATCAAGGGGAGTAAACTGTCAATTGTTAAAACCAAGTTACAACAGATACTAGTACAATTATCACACTTACTAGGATTTTGGGTACTCTGATCTTCAGAAGGATCTCCTTGAAGGTGATAATGATGATCTTCATCACTACCATATGTTGATGTAAATGTTGTGATATCATCCTCTGTGTAATAGAAGATGAATGAGCTGTACTCTTTTCATTTAGTGACCAACTAACAATACCATTTTCAATGATAATTCTTATAACTGTCTTTTGTCTTCATGATTTTTCTCGGACCAGATACTTGACATTTTATGCTATTTTCTCTTAGTGTAAATGATATTTTAGTTAGGAAAAGCTTGTACTGTATGCTTTTTGAGGAGTATCATGCATAATTATGTGTATTTATCAATGTGTCATTCAATTAGATGTCAGTTTCCCTGACATATTAAAGAAATTCTCTTTTTTTCCCAACAACATATACTGCACTTCAAGTTTCAGGAATCCTACTAAAGCCATGGTTGACCAATAGGAATCCTACTGGAGCCACATTTTGCTCTGAAAGAGTCAGATGTATACCATTTTCCCTAAGGAGTTACAAGGCTTTCATTTTATTATGTCTATGTATATCCCACCTTTTTACCCATAGGGCAGGCAAAGCATCTCACAGTAAAAGCTAAAAAAATAAATAGGTAATACCCAAAAGAACCTGCATTTGGTAACCAGAAGTTTCATTTTACACTAGCTCAGGTGATGGCACAAAAACAGTCACATAAATGGATAATGGAAGGATTTTCTGGTAGTTTTGTTTTGTTTTGAGATATGGTAAACTAGGGAAAAATGTATTGTATCATATGTATCGCACTATACTGTAAGCCTAAAATAAAAGCCTAAAAGCTTACAGTATAATGTTATATGTTTCCCCTTTAAAATTTGCCATTGATTCACCAGTCTGGGTGTAGAGAACTCTATGACCTAGTAAAAACTAGGTCAAGGGGTCCATACAGCTATGGGGCTACAGGGTGCCCATCTTTTAGCCACATGCATAATTTAGAGCTGGGTCCAAATGGGGACAGCATGTCTTCAGGCTACAGTACCTTCCAAAAAACCAAAGTTAGAGGTATTTTCCCCCTTATTCCTTTGGAAGATAGATAGGTGAATTGACTGCAGTCATCCATCATTGTTTAATTGTCATAATATGGATCTGTTTTTATAACTAATAGTCAATGAAATGGACTATTATTCTTGACTTTATCATTAACTTTAATTTGGTTATTACACTAATAATCCTGTAGGTCAGTTATTGGCAAACTCTCTGAAAAAACTGTGAAAGATGTGGGTGACTTCTAGGACGAGGAGGAATTGTCAAAAATCACATCCCTCCTTGTTTTACTGATAAATGCCTCTGCTGGCTAACAGAACCAACTATCAGCAAAGCAACATCAATTAGATACAACTTTATGTGTTCTTTAGTGATGGCCTTTTCTTTGATATACCATTAAAAATACTTTATAGGTAGCATGGGAGATACAATGGAGGAAATAAATAATGCCTTGTTTTTCTTTCTGCTAACAAATTCCTCAGAACACCAATGAGATAAGAAGTATGCTTGTATATATATGAGGTTTCAGTTTCCATTTCTGGTATTTAAAGCTGAAAATTTTTAGATAGCAAGATTAAGTTCTCTTCCTGATCCCCCCCACTTCACCGCCAGAAAACTCTTGCCAGTAATTCATTAAAAAGTGCAAAAACAAATAGTGTTTACTTTTTCAGAATTAAACCAGAATTCAGTACTGGTTTAGATACGCAATTGGTTTTATGCAGCATAAAATCACTTATTTTGTTTACAGTATAGTAATGCAGAACTTTCCCCAATCTGCTTCAACTCCCAGAAATCTCAGTAATGGTGATGCTTGCTGAGCAATTCAGAGAACTGAAGTCCACCCATCTGGAAAACAACTGAGTTGGTGAAGTCTACAGAAATCCTGATGGATAGCTGTGACCTTTCCAAGGTACTATTTAAATGTCATTCTGTAGAATGCTGATCACTGGAAATACCTTGTGTGATGTCATTGGGATCTGCTGTTCCTCTGCCAAATGCAGAACCACTGCCCACACTACTTTCATCTTCAGTAACTGGTGTCCTTTCTGTGACTTTCTTTCCTTCAACATACCGTGACCCATCAGCATTGAAAATTTCTGAAGGAAAAAGGATATAAAGAATCTAGACAAATGGTGCAGGAAATGGTTATGTATCACAATGTGAAAACTTACTAAGACCTTACTCAAGCATAAACAATTTGCAAATGCATTGCCCAGTTGGGATTCTGACTGAGTAATATGACCATAAGTAGTAAAAAACTTCAAGCTAATATATTCTTCTCTCCTCCTCTGACATGGTCAGAATTAGAACATGCCTTTTTCTGAAATTAATTGTAACATATGACATTCTGGTTAAATCTACACAATTATTCATTTATAATATACTTTATAAACTATGATTTGATCCTGGCTTCTTTCAATGAGCCATAATTTTGACTAAGAGTAAACAATTTTTGAGGGGTCACAACTCTGCTTCATAACCTTCGGGGGGAGGGGGGCTGCAGGAGGCAATCTAGAAATGTGTTATAATCAGTAGAAGAAATGGCTCCAATTTTCAATCCATCTGGAGAAAGTTTGTATGATCCTGCTAACTGAGAAGGAAAATTTTTCCACAACAGTACAGCTAGGGTAAATTCTTTTGGCCACTACCGCAAAATAATCCCTTAATAAACTGTTATCTTTGCCACATAATAATGACTGTGCACTTAAATCACTCTGCACATGTATTTACAGAAAGCATTTGTATTCCATGAAATGTAGAACATGTTGCATGTGCATGCACAAACACACAAAATGGCATTCCCTACTAGGAGAACTATGCCAACATAGAGCACTGTACAAAATAACATGCAACAGAGCACTATGTACAGAGGCCTCCGGAGTACCTGATTTTTGTGAGACTTGCAAAGTTGTTGGATTAGAAAAGGAGTGCATTCAATTCCTTTTGAGCATCACTTGCTGAGTTTACAATCCTATCCTATGCAGAATAACCACAACTGCAACATGAAACTATCTGTGATAAATTCTCACTAAAGACTCCCAAAGAAAAATATACATCTCATGTTTCTAAATTTTGCAACTGTTTTCTGGTTAAATTAATTAGTCTAAATGGACTTTGTTATCACTTGAAGCTATGTTAAGTCTCACCCCAAGTTTAATGACACAATCCACACTGATCATGCACTTTAGCTTCACCAGAGGAAGGCTTTACATGTTAAAAAAATGAAATTCACTTCTTACCAATAGTGCTGTCATTATTTGGCCAAGCAGAATATAACTTTATCACTGGATCACAAATCACATCTCCTGATTCTAAAAATGGGAGATAAAAGATCAATAATAAACAGGCTAACTTTCGTAAAAATAAATTTTAAAAAATGGTGAAGGGCTCCAGGACTACAAAGATGTGGGAAACGCTATGTGTTCCCTATTATGATATATATCATACTTGTATATCATACTATCATACATATATATCATACTAAAAGTAGCCTTTTAAAAAACAAATGTTGGCATATATTATTACAGTACAATAAAAGCAATACTTTACACAAGGCTCCAACTTATGGAATGTCTTTTGGAAGTAGCATTTGCTTCATAAATGTCCAGCATGCTCAAAAAAGTTGCAGTTAGAAATTTCCTGGTATTTATGATGGTATCTTAAGAAACGTTCTCTTGGGCTCAGCTGCATGTAAGTTTTTTGGATATATAAGTCCCATTTGGATTACAATTTAGTTCTTTCACTGCTCCAGCTACTTAACTACATTGGACTTTTACTTCCAGAGACAACAGTGATGGATCCATTAATCAAGACCTTCTCTAACCCCATACAAACAGCAAGTAGGATTCACGTTTTGGAACAAAAGGAGCATATGGGAGATGAATCTGCCTTGCACCTGCCACTTACTTCTCCTCTGCGAACTTCTGCTATTAGAAGTCTGCAGCAGGACTGACAAAGCCTGTAAGAAAACAAGCCTGCTTCAGGGACAAGAGTTCTGCAAATCTTAATACCATATTCTGCTTTATTTTTGTTTTTGCTTGCTGAAGACCACAATACCAAGAGTGCTGTAGAGCAGATATTGGGCCACAATGTACATTTTCTTGGCTTTGTTCAATTTCATGGATCATGAATTATGCTGACCAGGAGCAAATGGTTACTTAGCACATGTTGTTCTCTCATTTCTTTATTCTGTGTTTGTCAAATGTAACACAGAAAGTTTCCCCAGCAGTAGAAAATATGTGACCAAACCAAAACATACCTGATGAATTGAAGCAATATGTATCATATCGTTCAGAAATATTTGAGGAAAGTACATAAATTCCTGTATTGTTTGCTGCACAGAGAAAATAAGGGGTATGCCTGGGAACTACAATTTTGTCTTCTATATAACCATATCTAGGAAAAAAAGACCAAAAAAACACCATCAAATTAGTGTATAAAACTATATAGCCAACATTTGCAAAATTGTTCTGATTTGCTATTGTATTTGTTCCATATTTATTTATTTAGTCGTTCAAGGAGATGGGGAGTGACAAATCTGATAGATAGATAGATAGATAGATAGATAGATAGATAGATAGATAGATAGATAGATAGATAGATAGACGGACAGACGGATGAATAAATAAAATTTTATTTATTATTTATTTGATTTTTATACTGCTGCAACTGATTGGCTCAAATCAATACAGAAATGTGACAATACAAAATTATGACAAAGTATGACTCTCAGTGATACAGAAAATGTAAAATGCAGAACATGTTATTGAATATGATACAGAATTAATACAGAACATGAATGCAATAATAATAATAATAATAAAAAAGCCTAAAGAAATGAGCAGCATATCACATTCTTATGCTGTGGTCTACCTAATTTAAAAAGCGTCCTGAAGCATTCCACTTTAAGTGACCGTCTGAAAATTCAACAAGCTTGAGGCAAGTCTTACTTCCAGGGGATGGGTGTTTTACAACATGGAGGCCACCTCCTCTTGGCCTTTACCCTCCCAGATTTCACAACAGTGAGGAATTACAAGTAATTTTTCCTGTGATATTTGCACTGGGCAGGATTGCATGATACTAAGTTGTAAACCTACAAATTTAATAAGTACTGCTTGTACTCTACATGATTGCATAGACTTAGTACAATGCAAACCGGACGCTGAAAAATGTTTAGCTATAAAAAAGAATCTACATATCTTTTACTCTACTGATCATCCAATATTTTAGTAGGTCCCTCAAATTTAAGCGTAGAAATACAAATTAGTGCTTGGCAAGGTATCTGAAAGAATGAAACACCTGTCCTCAAAGCACTGAAACAGCTGCCCCTCTGGAGGTTGCTTTAAGGCTTTTCCCAGGTCATTTCTGCAAGCATACAGTATACATGCACAGACACTTCACTTGCAAAAAGTCTCAATGAAAGTGTTGTTTGGGCATGCACATGCAAAGAACCTGGGAAAACTTTGAAGCAGCTACACCAAGCCTTCTAGAAGACAGAGGCTGCCTAAAAAAACTGAGAGGTACCCTGATTGTACCAGGATGTTTTGCAAAATGCCCCTTTTAAATCCTGTTTATCAACCTAGATTAAATTAAATAATTTACAGATTATTGCTTAATATGGCATAGCCAAAGGAATCATATTGCACTGATTATCTGAAAAGCTGATTATCTCTATTTAAAAACAAGCAAGTTTGGAATGAACTTCTACCTGAAACCCTAAAGAACCACAGCAGTCAGTTTAAGTAGCTCTGGGTCATGGGCTAAGCCAGGGGTAGCCACCAGTGGCCTTCACTCTAAATGCCTACCACTCTCAGGCTCATATCAATAGTCCTTTCCAATTATTCATTCAAGTCCATAAGAAAAGCAGAATTGTCTTCTCTCCATTAGCCTGAAGAAGTGGGGGGAGAGAGAGTGCACATGCACACACAAAGAGGATATCAGAAAGAATTAGATTAAGAACAACATTTTCAGAGTAGATGGTCCTGCCCACTTCTGATTCTGACCCCACATATATCTTGCTTCAACCCCTCCCACCACTCTGCCTGTTATAGCCTCAGTTTCCTCCCAAAAAGGCTAAAGGAGACAATTAACCTTTTTGAAATTAGGCAAGTTGTGAAGGAAAACATTCTGCTCATGTAGGAAATGCATCAGGGGCCTGCATTCAGGAAAGGAAAAGTACTGTCTTCTGCTCCAGGTGCTTAAACAATTGGTTTGATATAATATCTGAGACTATTTGCTGTGAAAGCCAGAAACTGACTGGAAGCTATTAAATAATGCATTGTCTCTTCTTATACAAAGAGTTACATCAGGCAGCTTTATGAAGCTTTATCTCTTTCAGCTCTATGATTCCATGAATCCACAAACCCTGTTTCCAAGCTTATTAGCACAACAAGGATAACAGGGTATATAGTACCAATGCAGGAAACAGAACCAGATTCTAGTATATCTGCAGAGTGAGGAAAAACACACCACCCTCTAAAAATTGTGATTTTGTAATAAAAATGTTGAAATGTAGCAATAATTTATTAATGGGATGCAAGCAAAAAGGTGTTATGTCCCTCTTGTTATTCTGTACTAAACACAGGGATCTACGGAATCTCATAAATCATGCAGAAGTTCTAATCATATCTACCATTAAATAAAATCAATTAATGAGTTACGGCCATCTTTACAATCTCATATTAAAATTTCTATACTAATATCACCAGCTGACTCTATTCACCTTGTTTTCATTCATATTCATCTTCTTTTCCATTTTGGTATTTTAAATATTACAAAGGCTATAATCCTACCAACATTTACATGGGAGTAAGTCTCACTGAATTCTGGACATCATCACTGAAAATGATGGTTTTTTGTGCTTATTAGCCTAGCAGAGATAAACAGCAACCAAGTAAGCAGGTCATGCAAGAGCATTCTTCTAATATGGGCAGGTTGACACAGGTAAACTTCTCTGGCTCCTAATCTGACTCCAAGAGATAGAGGGCATTTATAGTGAAAATAGATTTAAAATGAACTTGGAAATTCAGTGCCTATCAATGAAAAAACAAACAAGTTTGTATGCTGCTGGTGGGGCAAAAGTTGTTAATGAGTACTCACACTTATACCCATGTATGTACATGTACAGATCTATATGCATTTGGCTAAACACACCCACACACACAAAACTTCTCTTTTCCTCAACAATCTCAGAGGAGCTAAGTTTTCTAGAGATGGAAGAGTAGAGCTCCTATTCCCAAGTTCTTCCTAACTTCCCAAAGTTGCAACTTCAGGAAGTCAGCAAGCAACAAAGGATATACAGGTAGAAAGCCCCATGAAGTCAGGGAACCACAGGTTGCTCAACTTTTGTCTAGAGGGGGTATTCTTTTTTAATCTGAGGTGTTCAGATTTGGGTTGGAGGGCAAGAGCTTTGCACATATATGCACCAAACCCAGGGCCTTCTGCAAAGCCAATGTATACTGGCAACTTTTTAAAGCTATTTAAAAAAAAAATCCAGTAATATACTGCAGGCTGTGACATCACAACAGAAACCTCTACATTAAATTGGTTCGTTATAATATCAAGTAATCTTCCACATGGCAGGTAGCACGTATGGAAGTTTCCCGAAAAGCTTTGTTGCAGAAATGCTACTTCCTCCCTCACATATGCATTCATTTAACCTTACAGTATTTTCATAGCTCAAAGGAAAACAAGCTATATGCAGGAGGAAACTTGTCCATTCAATATATAAATGTGTATTTTGTACAGAGCCAAAGAAAAGACCACAAAATCAAACCCATGTAGATGCATAAACATTGCAATTTGAAAAGTGCCCAGGATACTAATGAGAACGATGGAAAATTCTAGGATCTCTGATGCCTATACCATTATATTAATGTTTTAAAACATTACTACTGGTGTGATGGCCCCGACACTTAGCCTTCAAGATTCTGAAGACCTGACTGTTCCCTTTGGCACTGGGGCTAGGATGTTAGAGAAGCTCATTCTGTGATATGCAGTATATGTTGGTGTGCCCCAGCTATATGTTGCTGTGGGTTTTGTTGTTGTTTTATCATAATTCTGTTTTCATTGCTGTTTGTCACCCAGAGTTATAGTTTTGCAATTTATTTTATAATAAATAAAAACAAATCACTCTGATGAATAATTACCTAAGAGTGAATAATCACCCAACTGAGCATGTATTTAAAAATGTTAGACATTTTTGTAAGACTGTCAAATTCTTGTGTTTTTACTCTTCATAAAGCAGCACCAGGATGTGACCCACTAAATGACTCTACTAAACAAGGAATCTCTTCTGTCTTAAGGAGATGATTACTGATACAAGGCCTTAGGCTTTTTTTTTTTTTAATCAAATTTCTATACAGGTAGTCCCAGGTTTGAGAATGAGTTCCATTCTCAAGGAACTCGTTAAGTCAAATTTGTATGTAAGCTGGAACAGTATTATTGTATAATACTGTATAATAGTATTGTGTCATTAACTCAAATCATTGTGTATTTAATTCAAATTTTGCTACAGTAGGCTCCATTCTTAACTATAGGTCATCCTTAAACCAGGCATTCTTAACCTGGCGGCTACCTGTACATCTACTGCAGTCTTAAACAAAACCTCTATTTTACATTATGAGCAGTAACACTCTCCATTTCAAAATAACTACCCACAATATTTATCTTGTAAATAATTATTACTTTCCCCCCTTTTTTTTTTGTCTGCGCTCAGTCATTGCTGACCCTGCAGTGACTGCTTGGACGAGTCCTTGCGGTTTTCAAGGCATTGGTTTTTGGGAGGTGGTTGGCCAGGGCCTCCTCCCTAGAGCAGAGCACAGCTGGCGAGCGCAGGAGGCGGGTTT